CGATAACTTCTTAATTGTTTTGTTGGAATATTTATAAAAATTTCACCTAATAATTGAGGTGAGTCTATTTTACCGTTTAAAATTTTGCAGAGGAAAACAATGTCGGCTATTTCTCTTTGCATTTGCAAGGGCAAAAAATGATATTTTTTACATCTAGCTTCATAGTTGGGAAGGTATTGTTTACATCTAAATTGCAAATAACGAAGAAACTTCCGCTGAATGCCCTCAATTCTGTTAATGTAAACGTTATATGAAGGATTCCATATTTCTGATGCGTATTCAAGGATGCTACGTACGAATGAACAGTAGAGTACTTTAATGGGCTTGATACTACTAAAATTGACACAAGATCTTATAACGAATCCAAGTGCCTTCGATGCCCGTCCTACAATATAGTCTATATGGTTATCAAATATTAATTTGGAGTCAATAATTACACCTAGGTCTCTCACTGTATTGGTGTATGAAAGAATCTGGTTCCGTAAAGTGTAATCAAATTTAATAATATTAGTTTTTCGAGTAATATTCATTGAATAACACTTATAAACATTTAAATCTAATTTGTTACGAGTACAATATTCGCAAAATTTATCCAGATCCTTTTGTAAGAGATGGCAATCACCAGGTGTAGCAATTTGCCTAAAGATTTTCGTATCATCAGCGTATAGTAGAAATTTAGAATTTTGAAAGCAGGATGCAATATCATTCAGAAATATAGCAAACAGGAGGGGACCAACAAGGGACCCTTGAGGTACACCAGAGGACACCGTTATCCAGTTCGAGATAAAACCATTAATAGCTACAGCTTGAGAACGATTCTCGATATACGATGAAAACCATCGGAACAAGTTTCCATGGATTCCGGCGCAGTAAAGCTTCTGTTTCAGGATGGAATGATCAATCCTATCAAAATACTTACTAAAATCTGTAAAGATCATGTCCACCTGTGTCGCAGAGTCCATACACGACGTTACATAATTATTAGAGAAAATGAGATTGGAGATGGTAGATCGACCCTTCAGGAATCCATGCTGTTCAGGAGTAAACCAATTGGATAAAGCAGCATAGGTCTGATTGTGTATAATCCTCTCAAAATTTTTTCCGAATATACAGAGCTTAGATATGGGTCTATAATTTGTTATGTTACCTTTGTCACCACTCTTAAAGAAAGCAGATTTCCAAATAGCGGGTACAGTACCTTCGCTAAGAGAGCGTTTAAAAAGTATATGAAGGGGGGTGACAAGACTGTTAGCGCATTTTTGTATAAGTATGGGAGATATATCATCAGGACCTGCACGTTTATTTAAGTCAACGTCTTTAAGAAGCTTAAGAATCTCCATGGAGTCAATATTAATATCACCAATGTTATTATTATTAATAACTGCAAACGTTTGATTTAACACCACTATGATCATTAGGTTTAAGGAAGCTAGTTTTAAAATAGGTGGCAAACAAATTACAGACTTCTTCCCCATTGGTCTCCGTTATACCTTCATACGACATAACAGAAGGAAGTTTTGAAGATTTACAATTATATTTTATGTAAGACCAAAAAGACTTGGGATTTTTTGTAATAGCTTCTTCAGTCTTATGCATATATTCCCTATAGCATACCTCCTCCAGATATTTAGCTCTTTTCCTCAAGTGTTAAAAGTGGTTAGATAATCTTCAAGGTTGCCATATAATTTAAACTTACGATGAAATTTAGTCTTTTCTTTTAATGTTTTTTAAGGGCAGCACTAAACCATGGCGGGAACGAACTAGGTAGGAGAAATCTAATTGAGATTTAGTAAAGGATCCCATTGGTGCAAGATGGTCACCCTGACTGTGCCAAGAGACATTAGGAAAATTAAAATCGCCTATAATTATAAATTTGTCATCCGGACAGGAGCTAACGATATCAAATAACTTATTTGAAAAATTCTCTAATTGCATATTTAACGAGTTGCCGTAATTTTCTTTGCATAGATAAAGTGTACAAAAATGATTTTTTAACGTATGCCTACTAGAAGTCGGCGTGAGTGTCACTGTGACCCAAAGGTCCTCCGATGAGGATCGCCAATCCGGACGACAAACCGCTGCAAGGTCCCGCCGCACAGCCAAAAGAACACCACCTCCTAACGATTGATTCGTAGAAACGTAATCACGATCACTTCTCCAGACTGCATATTAATGGAGGTATTATTAAGTAACTTTTTTATGAGCGAGCAATGGAGAGAGCGGTGGCTCGGTTGGTTTCTTTATTTGAAATGATTTTAAGGAATATTTATTTATAATATTAGTCCGGTAAGTTGGTTATTACAAACGAGTAGGCTTACCATAGTCACGAGTTTGTAAATACCATTGCCACACGAATGTTATACAACGTTTTTTAACACATTTGCGAGGAAACAGTACCTTTACTTATTTATGTAATGTAGCAAACTTTTTCTAATAAGATAATGAAGGTGGTGAAAATTAGAACTACATATTTCGCCTCTTTTTAGTGTTAAAATGAGACAAAGGTATTGATTAAAAGCACTTCCAAGGAGGTTCGGTCAAAATAAAAAAAAAAAAAAAGCACGCTCCGTTGTATGGCCCCTAATTTTGAAATTTCGAACAATGTATGCAACCTCCGAATTCTGATGTGTTGAAAAATATTGAAATGATCCTCAATAAACGATCAACTTAAGTACAATAAAAAGGTTACCAATTGTATTTTTGGGGGATCAATTACAATTTGTTGATAATGATATTATATATAATAGGGGGAAAAAATCTTTTCGCATTATTGTATATATATGAACTTGTAATAAAATCTCTTTGGCCATAAAATACCATTTGAATCTGGCTGCTTTTGGGAGGTGTTAATGCATTCGCCGTATAGTCCTGACCTTGTACCTTCAGATTTCTACCTGTTTCGGTCTCTTCAGGATTCTTTAGGCAGTGTCAGTTTAACATCACGAGAGGACTGCTAAAAACATTTCTCGCGGTTTTTTGGTCAGAAGCCCATAAAATTTCTAAAGCAATATGATCATGTCCCTACCTACAAGATGGCAAAAAGTTATCGAACAAAATGGCACCCATATAATTTAGTTAAATATAAATAAACTTTATTAAAAATATGTTTTGAATTTTCATATGAAATGCGAAGAAACTTTTCCCCAACCTAATCTGTCTTATTTTTATATTTGTTTCTAAATAAAGTAACTAATAAGGATTGCTTTGCTTAAGAATAACCAATTGCCGTAGAAGCGAAAAGGTTCTCGAATGCAATGGCAACTGTGCATCAAACAACCGCGCAGTAGGTGGGTCCTCCACGAGGTGGATAGGACATTCTGGTGAAGGTTACAAATAGCGCAGGACTGATTGGTGCAGAGGTTTCGGGGGAGGCCTATGCTCAGAAATGGGTATCGTATTGCTGATATGAGAAGAATTTGTTGTTATAATTTTTATTTTTAAACAACTGCTTGATGTTTAAATATAAAGAAAATATAATTGGAAAAAAATCAACGCGGACCAAGCAGCAGACGGGACTCGAACCCGCAACCTTCGCTATCCGGGTGAAAATGGTCAGTGCATTCTCCCGGACAGCAAAGGGTACGGGTTCGAGTCCCGTCTGCTGCCTGGTCCGCGTGGATATTTTTCTAGTTATATTTTCTTTAGAATATGTTGTTTTCATCAAGATAATAAGCATAACATTAACAACAAATACACTAGTTCGCGCTATCTATACAGGCCTGCAAAACTGAGTATCAAATTTTTTAAGTTAAGTGTGGAAATTACAGATTTAAAATAAAAATGTTTTAGAGCATTTTTATCAGCATTCTCTAGAACTGTAGTATAAAATTAAACTCTATTTTGAGTCCTTTATATTTCGAAAGTATATCTTGTGTACTTAAAAAGTTATTGCAATTTTAAGATGTGATACTTAGTTTTGCAGGCCAATGTATTAATATACACACATCAAAGAAGTCTAAGCAGCATGCATCATTTACGTAAACTGCAAGTTTTATCAGTTGATATTTTCGTTAGAAAATCTTATAATTTATGCTTTAGTTATTAATAAATCAAATTGGTTCTTTTTTTTTCAAAAGAATAATATTAAAAATCCTCCAAAAGTTCAAAAAGGTTCAGGTTCTCTCTATCTTAATTAAAATGGAATCAGAAAAGCAAAATACATATAAAATTAATGTAAGTAAAAATAAGATGTTCCATTTCCACTGTGCTATAATTAAATCGAAAATCAACATTTACGAAAGCATTTCTCTCTACAATTCAAAGCAGGAATAAAGTTCAAATTCATTATTTGCATTCTAATGATGGTCAAACAAAGCCTGTTTATCCGAATCTGAGTGATCAAAGCTTTACGCCATAGGGCTGTTAGTTACACTCTCCCGATAATATTTAAAGCCAAAAGGCAGTGTCATCGAGCGAGTGCTCCCAACTCGTCCTCATTAGTGGTAATAGCGGTCGGTCGTAGATATCCGAGCCAGAACGGCTTAATTAATACTGACGACAGCCTCTTTGTGAGATAATCTATACAATGGAATCCCGATATTCGCGTTTCCTTAAAAAGAAAACCATCCACCTGATATTTGCCGAAGATCCTTACAAGCGTGGGCCTCTTTGAAAACAAAACAACACTTACGCTTATCCAATGACTAGCGGCCGCCCGCGACTTCGTACGCGTGGAGTTAGTTAGAAATGAAAGGTTCACTGCTCGTTTCTCGTAGGTAATAGCGTGATAATATGTAGCCTATATCTTGACCCGATTTCTCAATAATATTTGTGCTAAATTTGAAGTAAATCCATGCAGCACTTTTTAAGTTTATCCCGGACATACATACAGACAAATAGAGAAAAACTCTAAAAGCTAAATTTGGCTTTGGTATCGATTGTAAATCACACCCCAAGTATTCTTTTAAAAAAATATTCAATTTACAGTTTTGACTTTCCTACCATTTTATTACATGTATAGATTTATAAGTATATTTTTGCCGGAAATGAAAAGCCTTGCACTTGAATAATATCATTTAATGCGAACAATGAAAACAATTTTGGAAAAATACATACATACGAAAATGTCATCGGATACAATACATTATTGAGGCTGAAGTCATATTATTATATATATTATACAATCGCAAAATTTTCAGTCTCGCCACAGTACAAATTGACAACATAATTTACTTATACTCATCGTGGGTACTTATTGAGTATTTTATTATTCAATATAATATTCTCTGAATTTACTTCTGAGAATTTAGGTCAGCTGTTCTTATTCCTGATATTTCTCTCCTAACAAACACAAAGAAGAATTGTAACTGAATGTTACAGTACACCGTTCGTTTTTAGTTTTAGTAAAAATACACCTAATTTATAAATCGATCTATACAGCATATGTAAATAAAAAATAATCACATTTAGAAATGGAGAAATATCAGAAATCATTTTACACACTAAGCTACATAACATCTGTACACATTTCATTTTAATGTCAGTACGAATATAACTACATACATTTTATAACGAGAATGGTGAACCATTTATATACCCGTTGTCGTTTTAATAGTTTGGTTTTTAAGATAAGTCTATTTGGCCAAAATTTTTAAATTTCAGTGAAAAACAATGTTCTCTTTACACAGATCTTTACGGGCATGAATATTTTGTTAAGGAACTGTAATATTTTATACACCTAAAAAATTTTGAATATAAAACCAAAAAAATGAAGACTTCGTAGGCTTCATACTAGGTATACACTGTGGCAAACTTCTTGAGCATCGACCATATAAATGAAAGCTTGCGCAGTGGCAATTTTACATACAAAAACATCTACTGCGCAAGTTCATATGTCTGCCGTTTTGCTCAAGAAGTGTGCCGCTGCCAATACCTATACAAAACAAATATCACCTGTCATTGTTTTCTTCAGATGCAAACAGGATCATCTCAAAAATTCTATATTTAATAACTTCAAATACATACACTAATGCTAATGTACAAAAGTCCTGTTGTAAAAAATTATATTATAGGTCCATAGGTCAGTCGGGGGATGCATTCCTTTTGTTTTTATTGTAGAGGGTGATTTTTTAAATGTATTTGTGGAACATTGTGATCCACAATTTTGTAATATAATTTAATAAAATAATATACAATGTGTATTATATGAAAATCTCTATATATATCATTATTAGTTAATAAATATAGTGAATCAAGATACTGGAGAGTAATAAACTGGAAGGAGAGAGAAAATATCCCTGTTTCTTATAATAAATAATAATGACATCTTTAAAAGTTTATTATTAGGTTTTATGTAAGAACTGTTAATGTCTTTGGCACAGACAATTTTGTCATCAAACAAATGTATTTCATTTATCTCAATGCTAGGCAAAATTATATTAAGCAATTACCTTTAAGACAGTAGTTTTATGTACAAAAAATAAATATGTACAATGTACATAAATACGGCCTCCTAACTACTTAGCTACCGACATTTGTTGGCATTCCGGAGAGACCAAAGATTACCACAATCTTGCGTATTCCCATAAATCTCCTCTATAATATTTTGCCCACCCTTCTACAAAAGATACACGTACGTACGAACATTATGATATACTCTTCTGCTTACGTTTCCTTATGAGATTACTTCCCATAAGTCTCTCAACGATACTTTCTATGTAACCGATTTATGCGGGCGAATATCTTCACGTTTCTAGCGATATACATTACAAACATTAGATTGAAAAATTCTTATTACCCTTAGAAAATATTTACAAATCAGGTAAAATAATCTGCTTGTTCGAAAATAGAACGAGGGATTAATAATAATCTCAGTAAACAGGACGTCAGTAATAAGTACGGATTTAAAGTTCGGTGCTCATTTCAGCGGCACCGGGGACCGCGCTGCCGGTTGAAGTTTCAAAAGCAGTCTCCGAGTTACCAGATGTTACCTCACTCGTCGAATTCAATTGCTCTGCAGCCTGTTCGATATAAACAATAAATGTATTTTTGACATTCTCAATAAAACGCACACAATGCTTTAAAGAGACGATGAACAGAAATTAACCACGCGTTAAGTTTTAATCACAAAAGTGCGACACAAAAACAAAAAAAAACAAAATCACAATTCAAAATTAAGTTGCAGACAGTTAGTCAAGTGTTAGTTTACTACGTGAAAAACTTAAACCGCTAACCCCCACCGCATGCAAATCGTACAATCATACAAACATAGTCAAACAAACAAACGACAACGTGGGACACACAAACGGAACAAAACAAACCAAGGTTGCGTGCAGCTACACATTCAGTACTGGTTGCGGACACAGAGCTGGCGCTGTGGAGGGCTTACTTACTGCGTGCTTTCTATGAGAGGTTTTAGGATAATGTCGAGAGTGTTGTCGTGGCGGGCAGCAAGCCGCGAGTGCGTGCGAGCCAGATTCGCGTTGCAGTCGCGGTTCTCGCGCGACGGCCGCGCGTATCGCCGCGCCAGCGAACCGCTCTCGCCGACCAATATGTTGTTGTTGCTAGCATGTCTCTGCGTATCCCATAATCACACGCTAGTAACTACCGGTGCACACCGTATTTAGCTATAGTATATACGAGTACACAATAAACGAAGCTCAAAAATATACTGTATATAATTATAAGTGTTATATAACCTCTAGCCGCGGGTAATGTTGGTACCAGAGTGGCAACGACGAAAAAGTAATTACTTAGATGATTTCAAATTGTTTTTATCGCCAATGGGAATTTTGTGTTTCCTTGTAAGCAAATTAATTTTATTGAGTTGCCAATTGATTTTTTATTAACCACTGTAGCACTTTTATACCCTAATGAATATTGAAGCCCCCTAAAGCATAGGCAGAAATAAATAGATAATAGGGATGATGACGGGGTAAATTAAACGAAATTCTATTTAGTTCGTCAGTTACCTTTTTTTTTATTTTGTCAATCAACTAAAAAATGACAAGGAAAAACGCGTCAAAGTTTGGGAATGGGGTCTCGTGACGTCACTTCAACGTAAAAATTGTACAAAGACGTGACGTCATGTGACATTTCAAATCAAAATATCTCTGTAATGTTTTGAAATTGAATAAAGAAAAAATACTTATCCAATACTTTTTGATACTCTACCTGATGAAGAAAGAAAAAAAATAGCCATCATTCCTATTCAGAATTCAGACAATAAATGATATCTATTTAATACAGAGATCGTCAGTGAATTAGACTAGCCTACTGAATATGGCAAATTGAAGATAGATAAGATCACTCACAAAATATCTTTTGATGTAATTTAATCGTTTAACATATTCCCATAAAATATTAAACAGTATCGCCACGGAAGAATCGATTAGAAATCTTTGTCGATAACCTTTCCACGAAACATCCTAAAATGAAACATCTACTCTTAAAAGTACTTTTTATTTATCAAATGTCAAGTGACCCACGTTGTTTCCTTATCGTTTCTTCAGTAGCATGGATTATATGGTGCGTTTAATTCGAGATGACGCGTGAACTGAACAAAACTCAACTCTGTGGTTTGTGTGTGGTCTCAAGAAGGGTAGTTATTTTTTTCCGTCAGTCGCCATGAATTGAACGCATTATATTAATTTAATGGTAAATGTTTAACGTCAGCAGCCTGTACATGGTTAGCTTAACGCCAGAAACAGGAGCTGCGGATTACTCCCGGCGGCCCCCTAAGCCTATTTAATTCCGAAAACATTTTTCACTTTTTGCTGGCCCTCGGGATTCAGGTGGCCGACTAAATATGTGTGCGTTTACAAAGGTATTATAAAGGAACCCTTATTAATGATGTGATGAAACAAAGGTAGGTAAGTACCTACACAGAATTTATTTACCTAGTAGGCAGGAACTCGTCACAAAGAGAAATGTTTAAATAAAAAGGTAAGTATGTACTAACGTTAATAACGGGAGATAAAAAAATCATTTTTTTTTGTAGATTTAGTCTTAATAAATTATGGTAAATAATAAATGAATGTAAGATCCTTTGTGCTACTTTACTTTTTTGTGATAATGTTATTTACCTACCACATACTTTTAAACAAATTAAAACCGTATGCATGTATGTCTGCGTAAATACCTCACTGTTTACTGCTATTCGAAAATTACAAAGTTCACTCTTCGATTAATTTAACTTCTCGCAATTAGCTCCATCGAGGTCTTCAGTTGGTGGTGATCAATAAAATAATCTTTTTCCATTTATTTTTAACATTAGAATCTGAGATTCCGTGGGCCGCCGGGCTGCGGAAGTATGTTAGAAGCGAAGCGCCCACTCACGAAGAGGGAAAAGGTCGCGTCCTGGGGCACGGGCCTGCGGGCGGGGCGGTCGCGGCGCGTGGCCGCGCTGTCGCTGGCCACCGACAGCAGCGAGCGCTGGGAGCCGGTGACGACGGCGCGCGCGCGGCCCGGCGCGGCCGGCGGCCGCCGCGACACCGCCCCGCCCCACCCGCACCCGCCACCGCCACCACCGCCCGTCGTCGCGCCGTAGCACCACTGCCTACTCACTGGCGCTGTGGAACCGCCCGCTCCACACTTGGCGCTGTCGCTCGACCTGCGTACACGATACCGAACTTCCATCTCACGCCGACACTTCACATGGCTATTCGTATATCCTACTAGACTTCAAAAGTTAGTTGTTTGATCACACAAGAACTTAACAATTTTCTAGAAGTAAAAGTTTCCTATGTGTCAATCCTTAATATGCCAAATCCAAATGTAATCAGCCGTTTAGCGTGAAAGAGTAACAAACATCCATTCAATCGTTCGCATTTACAATATTAGTGGAAAGAATTTCTACAACAGTATGTCTTTTACTTTTACTTAAATGTAGAGGACATAATAGTGTATCAAAAAGAAAATATGAATAGCCATGTAAAGTGCCAGCATCAATTGTCTTACCTAGCTATAGCTAGCAGAAGCCTGAGAACCATCTTAACTTAATCACCTAATTATTCATAAACCAATTAGAAATTGAAGTAATCTATTTTTTTTTTGATAATTATCTAGCTATTCATAAATATAAATCTAATAATACCAGGTTTCTATGGACCTTAAGACTCATGTAAAAGTAAACAGTAAAAATAAATCATTGGCTGCTAATGTTAATGTACCTTGCTTGCTTTTAAGTCATTACTCATATCACCAAATTTGATTCAACGTCTACCTACGTCTACGTCGAGTTCTAACAATATATCTCTTTACAGGAAGGTTAAATTATTTTGTAGGTATAATCAAAGGATTTCTAACAAACGTTACGGTTTAAAATAATTAAACAGAACTATTGAAAATTTTATAACAAACCTGTAGATGGGTGTATAGTTATAACAATTTAACTAGCTACAGGAATGAAAAATTTTGTAAGAATAATCAAATGTAATCTAAAAAAACGTTCGATTCAAAGTAATGCAACAGAACTATGATTGCAAATTATAGAATAAGTCTGTTGGTATAGCTTTTTCTTCGTATTTAAAAGCCGGAGTTATCGTGGCGGCATTTTCGCCAAGTAGCGTTCCTCAGTCGATTTCTACTCTTAAGCTAACGCAATCACACAATCTGGGTAGGAAGCACTTACCTCTCGGATGAATACGCGTAGTCCTGGTCAGCTCCTAGTCCTGAATCCGTGTGTTCATGGGAGACCCTCGCACTGCCTGAAATCAGCTCGCCGCTGGAACTATTACTGTTGCTATTGGTTACTGGACTATACGGGTTGTTATTGTTCGATACTGGAGTAACGTTCCCTTTATACCCATTGTTGGTGAGGAAGTCGTCACCGGCGCGTCCCATGGACTCGTCATAGGTCGGGTATATGCGCCTGAAAAAAAAACATGGTCAAATCCACCATTCCTAGCAATAAAATGAATCTAACTCTTTGATGATGACTGGGTCTAATTGTTATTAACTTTATTATAACTACTATAATAAAGTTAAAGGGCCAACCCAGTTTAATTTTTCACTTATTAGATTATTTTGGATGTCTGGTATTTTTTTATTTACCTAAATTAAAAGACTTTAGTCGCAGTCTTTGCCGCTTATAAAAATCACAAACTACTCATCCACACCAGCCTATTCAAGAATCTGTCTCTTAAAGTTGGATAGCTTCTTAAATAGGCTTCTTAAGTAGGTAGGTAGGGTTCGTAAATTAGTGGAATATAATAACTATTGTTAACTAAACTATGGCGACGGAATAGTGGAAAAGGCTGTTAGTGATTATGATTCATATAGCATAGGATCGCACAACATACCTCTCGATTGTGTTGGACCCACATAGCTAATAACTTTAAGGGTACAAAAAAGGAAACTTACCTGCCATGCCTTTCCGCACTTGTTCTGTGTGTGCTAAATGTACTCGAACTTGATCTAAGTGAGCCTTGATGATGGTTCTCATGGATTGTTTTGTGAGAAGAGGAGCTCTTATCTCTCCTTGCTAACGAACCATGTTCTGTCCTAAAATATCGAGAAAATTTTTATATTTTGAAATAGAGACGGCAGGAAAGTAGCATGCACCTTGTGATAAGTTTGAATCATTTTTTTTAAACATGTACTCATGGACATGGAAACCATAAGAGCCTATAAGTTATTTGATGACAATTAAAGAGTACGCTTGGCTTCCCATTGTAAGAGCCTGCACTGCGTTAAGCGGGAGCATGGAGCAGACATCTGCTCCACTTATTTGTTCCATGTTATTTCATAGAGCAGCTCTACGTGAAGCGTGTCTCCTTCGCAGCGCTGTTCAATGTACTGACATAAAAACTACACGCGGAGCAAGCGGACGTCCGCTCTGTGCTCCCACTTAACGCAGTGCAGGCTCTTACAATGCGAAGGCAAGCGTACTCTTTAATTGTCATCAAATAACTTATATGCTTCATCTTTAGTAAATCTACGAATTTATTTGAATGGTTCTTACTGTCTGTGTTTTGATGAGGTCCGCAATTTAGTCTGCCGCGCATGGCTGGTCTGTACCACCGTATATGGTATTTCTTTCAGTTGCTCCTCAGTCATCCCCGTCGTGTCCACCAACGAAAACTCTAAGTGTTGTTTTAATTCCGTGGGTAGCCATTTTTTGTCGTTAGGAGAACCAGACCGCGACCTAACATATAAAATTATTTGGTTAAAGTAATACATAGCTATGGAGAAAACGGGTGTATTAATAATTTTTCCATCAAGCATTCATGTGTCATTATGTGCAAAATTTTTAAATCTAAAAAGTATTCACGTCGCCAGTAATCTTACCACAATGAATAAGTAGAATTTTCTTAAGCAAAAACTTATTTGGATATAAACATGAGTTATTTACATTAACATAAAACAAATATATTACAATGGTATCTAATAGGTAGGTAAATGGTATCTATGTGTACTAAAATTATAGTCTTTTTGATTTTATAATGAAGGTAAATTCATTTTAAATCATGACAGCTCTGTACGAAATATAATAGTAGAAAATCTTTCACCCTTAATTTATAAACCAGTACTGCATGTTTTCGACTTTTATGCGCGGAAGATAATACATTGTTTTGTAGTTAAATTTAGTAAAATTACCGATGCTTTCTATGTCTCCGATGCCTATGAGATGAGCGGTGGGTTCCAGTTTCCGGTTCCATTTGTGACCGGCGAACATTTGCTACCTAAAACAAATTACTTATTATTTGAAAAAATCTGTATTACATTTTGGATAGATCTATTAGCAGTCGGAAACCTTCTTAAGACTTAATGTTTTACTTACCTGCACACCAGTACCAGCATTAGTTTGCCGTAAAACTTCTTTCCATTGTGATTCTGATTCAACCAACTCGTATTCTCTGCAATTAAAATAAAATTAGGCAGTGTTCAAAGCAAGCTAACTTATAATTTTTAAAAGTCGTAGAGTAGTAGGCAAACCTCTAATAAAATGTTGATCAATCACATTGTATGTTCGGAGAAACGAAGATGATTATAATAAAGAACGAAACATGTTTTGTTAGCTAAACAGTAACTATTTTTATGGACGATATTAAATGCCTTCGATACAGCAGCACGAACAAAATCGTGGCTGAAACCTGTGCAAAAGGTACATTGGACGTTTACGAAGCTCTGACAGATGATCGCATAGTCAAACGTAATATTAGGCATTCAAAAATTTAAAGTCACCTTTAATGCACACTGTATAAGATCTTAATTAAAACGCATGCGTCAAAGAGTTACGACAGTTCGAAATGCAAGCTCGTAAAATTTTACGACTTATTGCTATATGTGGAAGAATATAGACCTTATATATTTGTCTCTATGCGCAATTATGAATACGCTGTTAGCAATATAGGAGGTACGGACCGCGAGGAAAAGAGACGGATATAGCGGTATGCTGCTTTCGAGAATGATGTTGTGCCTACTATAGGTTGGAATACTAGAGTCTCAACATATCACTCACTTGGTGTCGGGTTGCGAGTCATCCTTCTCGGACCCCGACTCGTGCTTGTGCCGGGAGCGGTGCCGGCGATGCCTCCGCCCGGAGCGACCGGAGCCACGTGACAGCTCGCTCTCGGCATCAGATTGCTGCCTTCGAGACCGATGCTTGTGCCTACGTCGAAATAATATTGCATGATTTCGTCAGCCTTTTTTACGTACCCCTTTTAAAAATGTTGTATAATTTGATGACTTCAGAATGAAGAAGAAAAAGAAGAGAGGATAGTAAGTGTACCGAGCATAAATATATTAAGGGCGTGCGCTGCCTTAAGCGTGAGCACGGAATGGCCGTCCTCTCACGGAAGAACAGCGCTGCGTCGGGAGACCCGCCTCATGCAGCTGCTCGATGAAATAACATGTAACGTCGGGACGTCCACTTCGTGCTCCCGCTTAAGGCAGCATACACCCTTATTAGAAAAAAAAAACTGTTTATATAGTATCATCATCATTTTCATCGTCTTTATTTCCAAGAAGAATAGTCACATAGTATTGGAAACTTCTCTTTAAAAAATAATATAGATTTCATCAAGATATTTCCGTTAACAACTCGTACTAAGCTTCACAATAAGGAGGTTTGAACACATCGACAGTGATTTTTAAATCAAATAGAACACAGCTACTACACTAATAATCTTCTGATTAACATAACATATGGCCATAATTAAAAAAGTTATAACAGTTTACACAATTCCATCACGAATTGGAAAACACAAACTAACAAGCTGTAAGTTGAATTTAAATCTCATCTGTTATCTGACTTTTAATATAACAAAGTAATTGAAATTCTCATCTGCTCCGAGCTGACTTTATTAAAGTCTCCTTTTAAGCAAGCGCAAAGACATTTTGCAGGAAGTTTTGTCGTGCTAATAAAGTGCACTAAGAACGCTGCGAAGTTGCATCAAGCTGTACCTGCTTAGTGAGTGCACTTCGGAGACTTCATGTCCAGCCGTTTCTACTTAGACTTACCAACAAAGTATCTACAACATAGAAGCCTTGAAAAAACTATGCTTTTCATTGGGTGGAATTTCATTCCCCATTTTGTACCCTATTTATGAACTGCTTTTTACTTTAAAAGGTCGCATGTGTAAGAAGGCTTCAAGATGCCCTGTATTGCCGTATCAAAATTTATCAAAATCGGTTTGGGTTGTAGGCTTGAAAGTGTAACAGTTGAGCAAGACAGCATTACATTTTAATATTTTTATTTTTATCCAATTAATATTAAAAAACCAGACGAGTCCCATTCGGACTCGTCCACCGAATTTGTGGGTATGCAAAATAAACGCCCGTATCTTCTTTTACGTTAACTTATAAGTTTGATTTTTTCACAGCTGGTCTTAATTTTAAATAAATACGAACAATGAGATCTTCTAAGTGGTTCCATTTTTTTCCTTTTGAAGTACGAACCCCTAAAAGTAGAGATACTTTACTGTTTCAAGATCAGTAATCTTTGAGTTTTTTTGCTCGCTTTCGTAAATATTTTATTTACCTCTCACTGGAATCGATGAACCGTTAAAAAGTCGAACATGATTGGTGTGAGAATTACGAAAACTTTTTCCTTACGAAGAGAATTCAACAGTATATTCATGGGGTCGAGAACACGATTTGTTGGAAGTGATTAAAACTTTCGCGAAGTCGAACAAAGTTCACAACCAGACGCTTCAGCGTTAATTCTGTATTTTTTTAATAAATTACTGTCCGACTGAAGTTTTCTTTTACTTGGATGGTAATGTTTTAAAAGAAATTAAGATCGCTTTTGAGTCATATATACTTTTGCTCTTACTACGCAGATAATTGGGTACCGTATGCTCTAAGGTAGGTACACCTTATAACACCTTTCAGATTATTTACAGGCTCCGTTCATAAAGTATTAAAAATCTATCTTAGAACAGTGTTTTAATCAACAGGAAACATCTTTATTGTAAATAATATTTTAACTATTTATATTAATGTCAAGAAGACTTATTTTATAAGTATCGTGCAGCACTCTTTGTATCCATGTCCTTATATGTGTAATATAAGGACATGGGTTGCCTAATTCTATTCACCATTAATCATCATACGCTTAAGATAGTATCTCTTCCCCGTAGACCACCTGCAACCTTCATTACAGTACGAACACAACATTACAAAATAGTAAGTATTATTTGGCTATAGTCTTAACCCTGTATTGCATACAAAGCCATTTTAGGCTGCTCAACTTTAATAATTTATTTCTATCCTAATTTTAAACCAAATTTATAAAATTTCACTGTATTAATATTAAGAAATTCAAACTGAAACGTAACCTAATTTTTATTGTCTAGGGCCAACGTTGTATGTCATTATAAGCTCACTTTTCTCCGGTACGTACGCGAAGTCGTTCTTTGTGAAATTTAGTGCAGCTTTGTTGGTGGAAATTAAATAGAAGGTAAGAAAATTGATGTTAAAAAATGTAAATAATGTTTTGCAAAACCTCTGTTTTTGACCCCTACCACAGTTTATTTGAAATATTTGTTCCTTATATTACAGCTATTAACGGGATTGTATGGGTACAATCCTACCCGGGATTGTATGGGTACCTTGTTTTTTATGATTTGTTCCTTATACTTCATTTACACTATTTTCTACGGGAGCCAATTTTGGCTTCGTATGTATTTACGATGAAGTATGCTTGCCCTTAAAATGGCTTCGCATGCATTCAGAGTTCTTTTTTCTAGTTTTCCAGAATGCTTCCATCACGCTTTTATGGCACTGCTAACTGCTATAAACCTATTCCTGGTGATGGCTCTCTTAGTAACGATGATTCATTATCTGATTCCGATGACGATGTTCCGATTTCGTGCATGCGCAATCAAACATTTAAAAACTTATAATTATTCCACCATCCGATACCGATACTTCCAATGACGAAATAGTTGATCCTAGACCTAAAACTTTCAAAGAGAAGCGAGCAGCTAAGGAAAAAAATTCTAGTCCGAAGGCCAGCGTATGATGAATACAATTTCAATTTTAGTGGTATCTTGGAGTTTCTAGACTCAGGAACTAGAATCACCTGCCGAATTTATCCATTTTTTTTTTCACAGAAGATTTTAATAATATTTATTCCGGAACAGTCCACTTGGTTGATATATGTGCAGTTAATGCTTGGATACTGTGGCGACGCAAGACTGACCTATACATGTCACTATTTGACTTCAAGCTCGCTATTTCTGAACATTATTGCAAGGCTGGCAAAAGCATCTCAAGAAAAAGAGGCCTTCCTAGTATCAATAATCCCGGTACAACTACCATGTCTAGAGGAAATACTCCTAAGTCAAGTAGAACAGGTATTCCTACCAGTAAAAATGTATCTCCCGCTCCTCGAAAAAGGGCAAGGAAAACCCCAGCAAAAGTGCAAGACCTACCTCTAAATTCAGTACGTAGAGAAAAAAATAACTTGATAGTCAGGCAGAAAAGAAGGATAATTTTATTAGCACCTCAATAAAGTAGTAAAAAAGTAAAACATTGGTTTATGTAAGTATAGAGGAATATACTTTTTCAGGACTTTCGAAGTACTCAAGGCGAAGAAACCATTCCGCGCGACTATTAACTAACGTATCACCACATTTCTTTGTACAGATTCGTAAAAGCTACAGTTCAAAGAGTTTAAAAGAAGAAAAGTTTTAAAGATCGAGCTGTATGAACTTAGAAGCTTGAAGTCCTATTTGACTTTGTTTGCCCTTCGTAACAAAGTCTAATAAACACTAAAAGGAAACACAAAAAATTAGACATGCTTTCAACACAAGATTAAGAAAAGATGTCACAGTTTTTGTAGTAAGACCGTTGGTGTCGATATTAATATACTCTTTATAGCACGCAAAAAGTGTAACACACAAAACATAAATATGTGAGCAAATGAGGGCTTATCTCTAATAGAGATCTCTTCCAGCCAACCAAGGTTTAGGTGAGATAAATGGAACCGGGTGTAGAGATGTACCTACTTGTAGATTATATACCTAGCTAAGACTACATACATAAATATTATGTTGATGTCTATACAATAAATACATATATACCTAATCAGGTCATAAATTCTGTCCCGTGTTTAATATAAAATAATTAAAACAAGTTTATTCATTATGTAACCTTTTATATACCAAAATGAACTTAACAAAACATAGATTCTTATGACAATAAAGTTTATTCAAAATGACCTCCGTGATTTTGAATACAGGCCTTCAATCTGCGCGGCCAGTCGTCTATCACAGCACGAACGAGGTCCATGTCAATATCGGCGGCTGCCTTAATCAAGGATGTCTTGAGTGACTCCAAATTGGGATGAGGCTTTGAGCACGCCTTTTCCTCCAAGTATTGCCATATCTTGTAATCTAACGGACTCAAATCTGGACTGGAGGAGGGCCAGTCTTCGTGCTGGATGAAGTCGATTTCACGCGCCGCCATAGAGCACAGCAGTCTTGTGTGCTCTTCGCTCTATGAGCTGGCGCCGAATACCCAGTGCGTCTTATTGAACATGATATGAGAAACAGGTTCCACAAGGTTCGTCAGGACTGTATCTTGATACACAACTGTATTCGTTTTTACACCTTTCTCACAAAAATGTACCTCTGTTAAGCCCCAATAAGAAACTCCCAACCATACCATGAGCGAGGATGGAAAATGACCTCGTTGGACACGCGGAATACGGTTGCTCGCTTCTTCACTACTGTGTGCGTTCACCTTATCATTTTGTTTGTTGTAGCTCTCTTCTACGGTAAAAATTTTATCATCCGAAAAAAGAATTTCCCGATATTTTTTTCCCGCGTACCGCTTCAACAAAGCATCTCTTCAGTCTCAGGTCCATTAGACGAGTATTCAAACGATGTCCTGTTTTTCTTCGATATGCCCGAAGCCCGTCTTCATTTAACACCCTTTTCACCGTGGTTCTGCTTAACCCCATCTGAAGGGCCAACAGTTACTGCTTACGTTTGGGATTTCTTTGAATTCGCGCCTTCACAGCTTTTATCACTGCTGGAGTCCTAACAGACCACTTCTTGACATGTCATCTACACTAGAGTCTTCATTGTATCGTTTGATGGAACGATAAACGAACCTTTTGGTTATGTTCAAAATTTTCAGTATGTCAAAAATTTGAATAGGCGCGTAACCGCAACGATGAAACGCAATAACTGCAACACGGTCTTCTTTAAACGTCCACTCCATATTTAAAAATGAGTAGAATTCTAAAACGTATACATTTTTATTTTCATGAACAATCGAAATTCGAATTCAATAAGCTTTTTTGTGGCCAGCATTCTAAAAGAAAAGTTTTTACTGTGTGACAATACTGTAAATACCTGACTCTGTATATACACTTTTTAAGGAAAAAAAGAAAACATACTTGCGATTCGACCGCGAGTCATTTGAACTCTGCGAATCGACGGACGCGGACCGATGGCGCGGTGCCGGCGGCGGCCTTGTCGTCGTTGGCGAGGCGGAGTAGAGGCCGCGCCTCGTCGGGGCGGACCGAGTGGACCGAGGCGATCCGCCCGGGCCCACGGGCGGCTCCAGCCCGTTCACTTCACCGCTTATTCTAAATGCAAATAATAATATTCTTTAGTGTAATACACCACACAAGACACACAAGTAAATTAAAAACATGATAAATAGAACGTACACAATAAAGGCGGCCTTATTGCTAGGCAGCAATCTCTTCCAGGCAATCCATTATATAAAGATAAATAAATATGAAGGAGAAAAGGAAGGGTGTTATAGAACATAATAATAATATCAATGGCAGGAAAACAGATATATCCAAGGAAGGAAAGAGAGAGGATGAAGGAAAAATTTAACATCTCTCTTGGGATAGGAAATAACTCCGAACTTGCTCCCTAAACGAGTTCAGAGTGCGAGCTTTCCGTGCGAGAATAGTTTCTGGCAATGAGTTCCATAGACGTACAGAATGCACAGAGAAGGAATAGGAAATGAAATCAGAAAAAAATTACCTCTTATTTGCCAATTTCAAAAGTAAAGGAGAAAATCGTGAAGTTTTAACCTTTTATTTAACACAAAAAGATCGGAAGGAGTTAACAAAATATTGGAAATTAAAAAGGTAGACCGTAGTAGACCGAACACAGAACACCTCTTTATGTGTTCTATGGTAATTAATTATTCAGGAATAAAACATTTTTTTTTTCATACTTATTATAATTACAATACAAAAGAAAGTAATAGTTAACCTTGTGTATTTTAATATCATAAAGCAACAAAAGCAGTAGTTAAAGTGAAAACTTAAGTTTATATTCATGGATGGATTTCCAAATTATCATAAGGTAATCAATGATAAAACACTTTAAATCCACGCTTTAAATAGATAAATAGGACTTACGAATTAGGCCGATGTACTGAGGTAGGTTGTTTAACTTCTGGGGGACAGTCTTTTATTCTCAAGTCTTCTAATTTTGGCACTAAAACAAAGTAAACGAATAATTTAGCATCCACAAAAGTAGGTACCTACTTACTTATATCAGTTTGAAAGAAAATTAATATGCTCTGAAACTTGAAAGTAGACAAAACTTTTTCACATATTGCCGTTTCCTTTGCGTCTGATTACTTTTCCCGATTTTCTTTTTGATATGAGTAAGTATATTGTAGAAAAGTTTTTCAATATTTTATGTTATGAACGTGGGTTCGTATGTTTGCACTCGTTGCCTTCTTTATCTACAGAAAGTTTCTAGTCAGTCATTAAAAAAAACTAGGTATTACAACTATTTCAATAGAATTATATAATGGCGCGATTACATTTGGTCGCTAGCCCGAATACGAATGCCAATGGAATTCGGGTGAACGTGAAATGAAAATTACACCTAGTGTAAATAAATGGAGTCAAGTACGCACGTATTCGGGTAGTTTTCGTTTTGGTTACCAGACATACCAGCCCGTGTTCCAGTGTAAATATTGCTTCGGGTGCCCTAATTCAAGTAATGTCTTTCGTGCACCCGAATGCGGGCTAACGACCAAGTGTAATTATACCATAACACATCATCCTAATTATCATTAAAATAAGGTATAATCATACCTTCAAAATACGTTTGATTTTGACAAATGCTGTCCATCGCTGTCCTACTATTTCATTGTTATACGTATTTACGGAAAATGGGCAAATATCTTTTGGATTTATGGATGTCGTAGGATTGATAAATCGAATTTTCGCAAAATTTCTAGGAATGTTGCGAAAACGCAGATAAAAGTAGACAATGGTGGTGACATTGCTCAAGCTTACTGTTAACGATTTTTTTCTGGCCCTTCCAGTCTGGCACTAACCTAGGAATGGGTAAACACTCCGCCCATAGATGCTGCATGTGACAAAATAATACCCGCCTTCATATTTGACAAAAAGTACAGAATACATCTACTGGATGACAACGATCCAAAGGTAACACACAAGGCTCTCATCATCTACACCGACGGCTCTAAAACCTCATCGGGCACGGGCGCGGGTGTTTTCTCTGAGGACCTCAACATACACATCGCGTTCCCCTTAAGCCCATACAACACAGTGTTCCAAGCTCAAGAAAGGTAACAGGTCAGGAAATACGAATACTGTCCGACAGTAAATCAGTCCTACAAGCTCTAGATGCCTGTTTAGTCAGATCGAGCCTTCTACAAGAATGCCACCAAACCTTAAACAAGGTAGGGTCAAGCAATTCTATTACCATCCAATGGATCAAGGGACACAGTGGATCACGCGGAAACGACGCTGCGGATGAGCTGGCCCGGAAGGGATCTGATACGACCCCAACAGGTCCTGAACCAATCGTCCCAATACCGGTAAGCTGTCTCGTCAATAAAATCCGCGAGCACACTGCCGAACGACACCAGCAATACTGGCTCGACCTGGAGATGTGCAGGCAGACCAAGCTCGCTTTGCCACGGGTGAACGCTGCCTTCTCCAAAACTCTTCTACAGCTAAGCAAACCTACATTGCGCATGGTAACGGGTGCTATCACTGGACATGCACATTTTAACAGAAATCTTTTCAAAAGGTGTCACGGACAGCCCCCTATGCAGAGGATGCACGGAGGCAGAAGAAACAGCTACTCACGTTCTGCTGGAATGCAACGGAGTGGCCGAATACCGGGCGAAATACCTCGGCTCACCGGGAAACCTTCAAGAGGCAGTCACCAATGTGAAGGCCCTGGGGGCGTTCCTGGGCTGGCTGGAGTGATTCCGGCCATACACCCTCCTCACGCAAAACAGGCGCCATAAGGACGTCGAGTTGCGGAAACGCCCGTAGCAAGAAGAAGAAGAAGAACTATCGTACTTTGGGGCCAAAGAATACATATAAGCCAACGTTTCTTTTCGAAATCTTGCTGAGCTTTTTGCGAAAGTCCTATCTTTTTTCAGTAAGATTGAGAAATTCTTGTCATCCCCATTGTCAAATTATTTGCGTTTTCGCAACATCATTAGAAATTTTGCGAAAATTCGATTTATCACATCATCCTACCTACGACAAAAACACAGAAAGGTTTTTAAGTAAAGTACAAGTCCTTTTTCCGCACAAGTTGTGTTTTTCGCACAAAAAATACAGCCGAGTAAGTAAATCCATTTTTTTATTGTTTCTTTTCTAACGAATTCAACGGACTGTCGTTAGATATTACAGTCATACCATACGACAAACTTTTCTTCACTTTGTTGCGGAAATTATACATAAATAAAAGTAGTTATTTTGATAAGTATAATGAACTAGCAACTCGACACGATTTGTTATACATAAGAACTTTATACACTTACACACCCTGTGTACTTTTCTATTTTCAATGCATTTCATATTTAGCCACGCCATAAGCACGTATAGCGATGTGAATGATAGATATGGGCGTGCATTATATAAAAATATATTTAACCTTATAAAATAGATACGATGATAGAATCTTAAAAATTCTATAAATATTGTGTAGCAAAAATTATTTAAAAAAATGCTTAAAAGATTAAAGCTCACATTCAGAGAAGTTAATTAACTGATAAGTTTTACTAAAATTTATTGTTGATAGATACAACACGTGACTCAATGAAGCATTAAAATTGCCTTTAAATACGTTCAAGAAGAAACTTAAAACTTGGTTGATTGGTAACTGTTTTTATTCTGTTGAGGAGTTTATGGGTTTATGTAAAAGACGACAGTAATCTGTTTTTTTTTACCCCTTTGTTTGGACGGCTTATAGATAGTGCATCATTATTTTTAGCTATTTATAAAAGGACATGGCTAAGAAACTGCCCTTAACGTGTTTAAATATTTCGCACTAGCCCAAAACATTATAATATTTTTTTATTAATTATTACGTGTTTATTATTCTCATACAACTTTCGTGAAATAATCAAAAAATTTAAAAGCATAAAAATTTACTTTGTCTGTTTCAAAAACAAAATGTTTTGATTTACAAAATAAATGAACAATAAATGTACACAAAAAATATTTGTGAAAGTATATCGAAATAAACAATATTATTTCTAAACTCCTTCAAACTATGATATATTTGGCCCTAATTTTTATTATAATAAATCACTGAAGGCCTAAAATAATAGATTTTATTTTTCTGATCAGGCTTGAGACAAGGCTGTATGATAATAATTAATCCTTTAATTTTTGCAAATGGACCAAATAAAACTTCACAGATTTTAACGATGATATGACGATAACAAATTACTTGTAAGTATTTATTTTTGCTTTAAAAAACTTTTTGTGAAAAGTTAATCAGAGAAATGGGAAGAAAGATTCTAAGAAAATGCGAAATTGATTACTCTGTAAATAATTGGCAACATATTTTATCAACTGTAGTAAGGTAATGACATAGTAGGAGTTTTCATAATTTTCAAAATTGTGACTATCAAAAGTTCCTGAGCCATTTTTCATAGAAATTATAAATATTCAGCCATTTACCATTAAATATTACTAAGTAAAGTATTTATACATTGCCAGGGTAGTCGCTCATACAAAACTTTACCATTCATTGTATGCCACTTTCTGGTGAATTGTGCGTGTCTCAACAAATAATGTCACACCTTTTTTTTACCACTTTTCTTGCAAATAAATAAATAAATTAGAATAATTTTACTTTTCTGAGTACAGCGATAAAAGTACTAGTGTGTTACCATCGTGTAGCGAGGTGTGTAATAGGTGCGGCCGTGCGTTGCGCCTGGACGGAGTCCTGGTGAATGACGGCGGGGGGCGCGGCCTTGATCCTCGCCCGCTTATGAAACAAACAAAAAAAATAAATGTATTAATTATGTTATGGAATTTTAATCATTTAACTGCTGGAAGTTAAAATCTTATTATTTTCTGGAAAAAATCCTCGGTGGCATCCCGTTTGAATTTTTTAGTAAAATTTTCTTTACATGCATTCAGGAAGAATGATGGGAAGAAAAAATTGCTGAAAGTAAAAAGATAACGATTGTGTAGGAAAGCTTTCCAATGGATTCGTACAATCATTTCTCAAATATTCTTGGAAATGTGAGCATTATTTTGACAACCTTCTTTTAGATAAATCGAAATTGCTGTACTGATCACATACATATCAGCAGCGGCCGTCAAAAGATGTATAAAAATCAATATCTTTCGTGTTCCACGGCCAATATAGTGTAGACGCTCTAGCGTGGCTTCGCCTCGGCCCACATTTACACGTTCGTCCATCAATGCCTCTTTTGCTGGCAGCTGCAGTAATGTTCTACTATATTATATTATAATTGATATTGTTGTAATAACTAATCCTTCTAATTCCAATTATATCTAATATATTCTAATGATTATATTTCTTTGCAAGTTTATTTAATAAAACTTTAAGACTTTAAACCTACTTACTTTTTAAACGCTTTACAAATAAAAGTAATAAATAAAAATCATAGGTGAAAAAAGTACAAAGTATCAAAATGTAAATGAAGAATTAAAATGAATGTTAATAAAGGAAATCCCGACTGGAATTACGGAAGGTCATTCGCGAAGAATTTACGACAACCAAACAGGCGATGGGCTTATGATGGACATAAAAATCCGACGTTTCACGTAGGTATGTACATTAATTGAGAAAATTAAAGAGGTGTGTCTGTATACCGCAACTTGTGGATATCGATAGTTTGTGACGCGATTTTATATAATCAGTTATCCAATCTGTTGGCCTTAAACTGATAATGATAACAATTATTACATTCATGGATCTTTAAACTCTTTGAAAAATTACGTTACCCAAACTTCTTTATAAGATTACGGTCTTTTAATCATGTTAAGTGACGGTGGAGTCCAGAAGCGAAGATAACTTGTGTAGAAATTTCACGTACCAAACTAGCCATCCCCATCATCACTTGTCTGCCATCAAGTTACATGAGCGTAGCTAGAGAGTATGCCTAAGGGGGCAGGTATTTTTCAAGGGAGGGGCAATTTTTATCTAGGGGGCAGCAGATCAGTTGAACTTACATTAATTCAGAAATTTATTTTTAAATTGATTGATACTCGAATCCTATAGAGGGCAGAGAGATTTCTTGCCCCTATTCCTTCCCCCCTAACTACGACAATGGCAAGTTGCCTCTTCACGTCTCTTTTAAAGAACTCCGGGTTGTAGAAATTTGCCTCTATACTATGAGCCTAGTTTTGAAACTTATACGAATGAAAAAAAATGTGGTATAAACTGCCACCGTCCATACCATAGTAAGCCTCCAGCGCATGGTGCTTCTTCTATTAACGACAGCGCACATATAGTATCTACATCACGCTAACAAAGTTTCTAAACTAATTCAAATATGCAAAGTTCGACCTTCATATATCGGACCGCAATTCCCAGTTTAAGACCACCCAGACCGGGAGCTGATTTTCCTTTTAGACAAAATAAATCAGTAGGTATTAGCATTTGAACTGAATTTATTAAGCAAGGCCATTTCATAAATATTAACCTTTTTCGTTACAATTTACTCTTTCTGTTGCAAACTACGTACATAAAAATATAAGACCTAACTAAAAAAAGTGAGTTCCAAAGTTAAAAAATTGTACTTTAAAAAGTGGAAAAAGAGAAATCCGAGTCCAGTGTCGCATTTCCACTGTGACTGGTAAAGCTTGGAAGCTCTGTCGATAACAGAACGTAGCTGTTTCCAACTATCGGAGCAAGTTTTATGATGCCATTTATTATCCACGTTGCAGAAACTGAGTCACTGGTTTTATAGACGGTGCGGATTGATAAGGGTCACTCACTTTGATAACTATTTTTAAAGACTTTTGCTACCGTCAAAAGTCTTTAAAAAATAGTCATCAAAGTGAGTCACTTTACCAATTTAATCCGTATCATCTTTTTACACACATGTTAAGGTGTTACCAACCTTGCTTTAAATGCTATTTATTTTATTAGGGAATTTTTGTTTTGTTTCATCATTTAAAATGAGGTCAAATGCCTTGAGGTAGGATAAACAACTGAATACTTACGAAATCGAGAATTTAAAAAGAATTTTGCAAGCGGGCACAGTTTGTAATATGAATTATGTTGACAGTCTCAGTGATAGTTTAAGGTTTAATCTGGTTTAATGAAATAAACAAATTAATTTTGTAGATATATTTTTAGTAACAACACAACACGGTTTTTAAATATATTTAAATGCTTAAAAATACAGTGTCTTCTCAGATTGTTCCTTGAAAAATTTACCTATTACAGTTCATAGGATACTACTAAGCGTACAAACTTACAAACGGACAGGGCTTAGTGAAAGGGTTCTGTTGTTGTCCATTCTTTGGGTACGGAACCCTAAAAAGTAAGTTAAAATTTAAATCCCAAGAGTAACATAATAGGTAAAGATAGAAAGGTTCAAGTAGATCCTTTTACGGTTCATATCAAACTTAATGTCCCGGACTGAACGATCTTAAATTTTTCGATCTTGTATAGTAGGTACTCCACTGTGAAATAAATTTAAAACATCCACGGTTTACAATATCTTTAGCATACAGCTGATGAAGAAACAGCTAATGTAAGTGGATTTGTCAAGATGCTTGCTTCAAATAATAGGCATGTTGTCATTGTCACTTCCTGTAAACGGTTGAGTCACTTGGGTACCTATTAAGAGAACTTATAAAGGCCAAGCCCCGGGAAATCACGTTGTTAATGTAGTTCGGGGCTAAGGAGCGTCTAGACAACGCTGTGATCAAACTTCTCAAGTAAAGTTTCGAGTTGACGCCTTAAATTAAAACAAGTAAGAAATAACATGTTTTGTTTTTTTAAAAAAATGTTACTTATTTTTACAGTTGTCGACTTTTTCTAATGAAAATGTGGCACAAGTATCGTGGCTGTGGCTAAAAGTAAGGTAAGTAATGTATAGCACCTGCAAGTTACGTAAATATATGCAAGGTTTTGTTAAATTAAAGAAAAAACAATTGGAAATGCACCTATATGTAAGTAAATTAAAATGATGTTTCAATTAATACAGATATGTTACCTGTTTCTAAGCCTTGATCCCATAGCGAAGATATCGGCGGAGGCAGGTGCGGTTTGTTGCAACCTAAAGAAAGCGTGATGGTCTGAGCAGCAACGCCAGAGGTGACGACACGCGGACCGCGTCGGCGACTCGAACCCGTATGTTGATGTCTCATTCTGAAAGTATTGGACTAGTGGATATATGGAATGTGTTAGAAAATGCAGAAGCCGCCCTTTTAAATGGTGTCATAATTTTATAAAACCCATACATCAAAAACACGTTAGAATTTTTTCACAAAAAGCATTTCATCATCATCATCAGTCTATTAGTGTCTCCACTGCTGGGACACAGGCCTTCCATATCGATGGAATAGGGAGATTGGGCCGTGCGTGACCCACCACCTTACCGTACCCTTTGAGTATATATGTATAACGGCGTGACTAATGGATACATTTTTAAACGGTATTAGTGTTTTTTCAGTATGGTAACATAATTAATAAATCCCAAACATGTTGATAACGATTTACACAGAACAGCAGTTATAATAACTTATCCAAAAAAAATGGTTGCCTGTAAAGTCGGTTTTACGGGCGAAGATTTTACGTGACAACGTCTTTTTCTCGGTAGAATATTTATTGATATGAATATAATTAAATTGCACAATAGGAACAAGGAATTGAATGAAAATAAGAATTGCACAAATTTTAACTATAGAAATATATTTTGTTTACTAAAACATTGTACATGTAAACTTAAACTTAACACGAGAGACTCATCGTAACGTTACCGAGCGTTACACTTTTTCATAAGTGACTCCCAGCCGCAACCTAATTTAAGACGTTGTCACGTCAATATGTTTCCTAATAAGCGAATGCATATAATCATAAAGTGATCAAAAGTCAAATTTCATATAAACTTAGGTATCCGTGACCTAATAAAGTTAACAATACCAATAAAAAAGCAATGAAAATAATAATGCTCGAATTTTCAAACGCTTTCCATGTGAATCCAATTACCAGAGCCAGCGGTTGTTTTGTACATTGACCCATCAAGCGAGTAATGTTTTGAATGAATTCCGCTCTACTGTTTGTATGGGAAATATCGAATCGTTTTTCAAAGAAAATCATGTTTACCACCGCTTTTAATTTATTAATTGCGTCGCTTGTGAATAAAATTATTGTGATGTCGACTACCAGAGCGAATATTGAAGTGTAATTGAAAATTATTATTTCGAATAATTTGTAGCCTTCCGCCTTAAGATTACTGATAAAGAGTGTTTGTTTATACATATTAAAGTTTAACTAGAACAACAGCTATATACAAATTATTCGAAATAATATGTGAAACCAGCAAACAATTAATTTAAATTACATAAGTAGTTGCTAACTTTATTAATATGAACATTTTCATCTGAATAAGTGTATGACATTTTAGAAGTTACCTCCAATTGAGCTAATAGGAGTATGTAGGTATACAAAACACGCTCTGGCTTTCAGAGAGTTGTTATTCAAATAAGCTCGTAAAGTTTACGTATCTTTCAAATCCTTTCAGGAAAGTTACATTCCCTAATAAAGTTCACATAACGCACGTACCTATAGCGTACATTAAGAAACTGCGGGTGTGAGAAACATGTCCCCATTTGCAGATAATACAAGCGGACATGACGCGCATTTGAATGGGCGATAAAATTAATAATATTTTAGAGTGCGTGCGTAAATAAACAGATTTTTCGCTTCTGATTTTGGCAGTGTAGATTGGTACGTACGGTGAAGGTAGCACTGCTATTTGAAAGAACGTTTATTGTCTCTATAATTCACTTAGCGTGGTATTCTGAAATTAATAATTTTAACTTAAGAGAACGGCATCAAATGTGTGAGATTCTGGTAGAATTAATATAAAATGTCTAGATTTTTCGAAAAGACATTTTTTCCAAAAGTTGTACTTAATTGGAATTCAAGCTATTTCGAGTAATAAAATTCAAATGTCATTTGTTTCAAATTACAGAATCTTCAAAGTGTATTTTTTTTTTACACACACACCAATTAGCCTAGCCCCAAAGTAAGCACGATAAGGCTTGTATTATGGGATGGGATCTTGGGATTATCGTGCTTACTTTGTAACGGTAACGGATAGAATACATATACTGTACATATATAAGTATATTTATATAGAATAACATTTTAAACATCCATGACTGGAGTACAAAATGCTCGTATTCATCACACAAACATCTGCCCCCACCGGGATTCGAACCCGGGACCTCTCGAGTCGGCGGCACCATGAAACCCGGCGTACAAACCGCTCGGCCACGGAGGTCGTCAAATATATTTTTAACTTTTAATGTTAAAGACGCAAAAGCATGTGACGACATAGAAATGCTCTCATATATTAACCATTACGCACATAATACGTTACCAGCCACAGAGAGCCAGGAGGGGAGTAGCCATAGTGACATAATACTACTGAAATTCATTCTGCCACTTTTTGCGGGGGGAGGGGGGGGGATATGCACATAAATTCAGTGCAACATACATTAGCAAAAAACTAAATTGTACTACTACGACATTCACATATAAAAATATAGGGAACTGAATCTTTCGTATTAAATTCGGCAATGTCATAAAAAAAATACGGCTGAATAAAGATTCAAACATTAATTAAACTGCCGTTACACCTTCTTTTGAAATTTAAATAAAGGCCTAAATTTGGTAAAGTACTGTAAATAGATTTAAATACATTAAAAATTCAGTACCGTGTGTTCAGTTAGGCTATTACAATAAATGCACTTATGAAAGTTGAAAAAGTACGTAAATCCTTCAAACTTTGTATTGAGAAGAACCAGCAATGTCTTTTTTGACGACGACGATAAGAAATTGTGACAAATTTACTTCTTACGATTTCTGTTATATATATTTGTCATTTCCATGTTTTTTATTCATGTCAATTCAATAGCTATAAACGTCTACTTTTCATCATCATGGTTTACTACTATTCATCAAATAAGTCTCAAAAATGAATCAAATTGGTAAGCAATAATAACAAATTCTAAAGTCTTGGTAACAAAGTAGTTGAAAGGTGTTTATAGAATCAGTAGATGTTACCTTACGTCGAAACAACAACGTGGCACAATTTCGCTTTATTATTTTCATATTGCAACGTGGCCAGGAAGGGAGTAGGCATTCACGCTTGAAAAAAGCTGCCAAGTGCGAGTCGGACTCACCCATGAAGGGTTCCATAGCAGCAAGTAACATATTATTATAAAGGTTCTTGTGGATCAAGGATTCATTATTAGAAAATATTGGTTCACGGTTTATGCATAAGGAGGATTTTTATGAAATTAAATGTATTTTTAAATTTGATTTCTTTAGATGATTTTAGTTAGATCTCGTTCATACCAATTTTCGGTGGAAGTTTGCATCATAATCCGTTTTTTGCCATTTGTAGCCAAATCCCTAATTATCTTCTGAGCTCGTGAAATTAAATTTGTTAAACTGTTATGGAGTGTTTCATGAAAGGAAATAATAGCTTTTTAATATTTATCCTCAATTTAATTTTATGTGACTATTGATCATAAATATTGTTATTTTTTTACTTCTTCTGTATTTAAAGAAGGCAATCGTTACTGACTGATCTATCAACGCACAGCTCAAATCACAATACGGATTGAGTTGAAATGGCCACCCATATAAAGCTTTTATGATGTATGCGTGCGCTAAGAAAGTATTTTTTAAAACTCACCCCTTAAATTGGTAAAACGGAGGATCAAAGTTTTTATGGCGCATTAAGATCGTGAAGTTAATCCTTAAAGCTGAATAAGCCTGTTTCAGGATTTTTCAAAATTGTACATTCATTCATTCACCTAAAATCAAATGTAACGACTATAGTTTATAATAATTCTCGTTTAGGTATTAGGTAAACCAATACAAAATAGGCATGAATATAATAAAGTGGCAGTTATAGGCGCAAAGTTATAAAAGAGTAACAATATATTTGTAATGGAAATTGAAGATGCGCCACAATGATATATCATATAAATTCACGGTGCAGGTGATATTCACTCCATTGGACATTGTATGGAAGTTGAAGTTCTGCCGAAAATTATTTAGAATAATTGGCTACAAAGTAAAAGTTTTATAAAAGCCATACACTACAGCTTCATACTAATAACATTAGCATTAGCAAATAAGTAAATTTATAGTAAATTAAAGTCAAATGTATACTTGCCTATTAAGCATAAAAAAGGGTCCCAATGCTAGTTACTGTTAGAAACTCTGTGGTTAATGTAGTGGATGATGCAGTTACTACACTGCTAGTATTAGTTTATAATGTAACAAGATTGTAACATTGTTTGTTTACCCTAATAAAGAAAAAAAAAACAATGCCAATAGAAAATAATCCTGATTTACAAATCACCTGTGAAGGTACTTAAATGAATATTTACGCGTTTAATAACATACAATCGTTAATAACAACAGTTAATTTATATGCTGATGTTTATCTGTATTTCTGATATTAATAGACGCTAACGTGCCACCGGGACAGGATATAGGAAATATTCCACACGGTAGCTACATCCGTTATTATGTGAATAGGAAGATTTCCTTTTCCTGTAAGTAAGAAATAAATAACGAACTTGAGCTAAGACAGGAGGAGAGCGTCACAACGCGTTATCTCGTCCTACCACAGTCCTGTAAATACCGCGCTCAGTTCTCAGACTTATCTGTAATTGCCTGCCTGTGAATGTCTTTCAAGGAAGCGCACAAGGTGGAGTCCATCTTGCACCATTCCATTCAGAATATGCTATCGGGCCGGGCGATCCGAGAACCGGGTCAAGTGACGCCCGATTTTGGTGTTTATTTATTTGCGATTCAAAACAGCTCGAGGGTAGGTTAGGTAGGTTAGGTACTGGAAAATTATTCTCAGCGGATTGTGAATTATGAAATTTGTTTATAAGGATCACTTCCAGTTTGTTTTCTCGATATCTTTAATGGTATTGGTTTTTGTTTAAGTTTTGCTTATCATTCCACCAAGTTAAAGCGAACCAAAACTTAAACAAAAACAAATTTATTTATAGAAATATCGTACGTACATACGTACGTCCAACCTTTGGAAAGCATACTCACTGAAAAAAGCGTATATCTCTGGAAATATGGTTTCTTTTTTCACTATTAGGGCACAATTTTTTTGAGCTATGAATTTTGGTTATATATTACATAGATTTCTCAAACAGAGGTGAGTGAGGATGGGCATAACCTACGCCCACGCACAATGTATCCAATAATTAGGACTAAATGCAGAAACCGCCCTGAAAAACTAAACTAAACCTACGCCCAGCATATTTACCAAAGGACATTGTTCGTTCCCCATACATTGAATGCCCCAGAACGCACAGCATTGAGAAAATGCTAGTTGTGTTCGGAATCATTCATAAACTCTCATTAGGCATTTGTTGAAATACGGACAACTTGAGGAACCCTGACCTACTACAGAATGTATTCGATTTTGAGGTAATAATTATTATACTTAATCGTAAACGATGTAAACTTTATATCTTTTGAATAGATTTGTTGTTTACCACTATGTAAATAATACGAATTAAATAAACATAAAATGCTATTAATAATAAAAATAATAAATCCTCATCTATCCTCAATAAATCCATCAGATTTATGAGTGTTGGCAGTTGGCACCTATGATACCTATACCTACCTTTATAGCTATTAACGGGATTGTTACCATGTACCTCGTTTATAAAATAATATAAAACAAGGTACATGGTAACAATCCCGTTAATAGCTATAATGTTAGTGACCATGAAAGTTTAAAACAATATATCTATACCTACCTGTTTAATAATAGATTTATTTTCAAATGAAATGTTCAAAAGCTTTCCTTTTAGTTACAGAACTTTTAATATTACTTACTTACTATTATTAATTGCTAATAAAGTAAAAAAATAATAGAAAAATAATCGTGAAGGACATTCGTTTGTGCATGCCGGGGCCGAAGTCCTTTGTCTCTGTTTTAATATAAGAGTAAGTACTATTTTTTCGTTTGATTACTATTTGGCCCTATTTAAGAACTATTCTTGGGCATTCCTGAAATACCGGAATTTCATGGTGAGTGTGCTGGGCGTGGTTCACAACAATACAGCTATAAGAAAAACAGAATTTACTCACATTTTTATCAGCCACTCGTAGCATGAAATAGCGTCCCTTGTAGTACAGTTTCGACACTCTCGGCCAATAATAGTTCGCCACCGTATGTTTTCCGCGCAGCAACAGCAATCCGCTCGGTGCCAGCCCTAGGAAATATTCTACGCTGTCTTCGCCCTGTCGCAATTTACATTATATTGTATTTCATTAACACTTGTTATTTCTGGATTTTTCTCTCGTGGATAGAAAAAGAGTAAAAACTATTCTAAAAATACAGAGGCGTTTCCAATGTAATAGTAATGAGAATTTTGTCTGTTGCGAGATCATACCCTATTGACTCAAGTCCTACAAAAGATACAACTCGAATACATATTAAGTGAGTGTTACGGAGTTTTCGCTCAATTACGTTGGCAAAAACTGAAAATGTCATTCGCGTATCAACAAGTGTTGAAGTGCTGAACACAATCGGGGCTGTATTGAGATCATTTATTTTTCCACCCCATCCCCAGTTTTGTATTTTCAAACGTCTCTCTCTTGTATTCTTACGGAATTGACATTCTTTACAACATGATCTTTAACATCTATATTACTTTATAAAGATGTTGAATCAATTTAAAAAGCCTTTGATGAGCGTACGATGTTAATAGAAAATAGAAAATAATTTATAGTAAGAAAACTTATTAGGTGTATGGAAATAAATAGTTTACAGTAAGGTATGACATATCTTATTATGAACAAATACTTAGTTAAAATATTATTAGAATTCACTTAATGCCGTAAAAGGTTCAATGAAAAGAAAAATATTCACGCTCAAATAAATCAGTAAATATTTGCAACGTGCCGGGATTAACATATGTTGGAAGTGAAGGGATATTATAAATCATCCATCACAAAACCGGAGCACAAAGCGGCTCGGCGCACCAAATAAAATATTTACCAGCACGGGATGCAGATCGACGCCATACATGTCCAGCCATTTCACTTTGTCCAAGTAACTCAATTCAGCCTGCGCCGGTGATATTCCGCTGCAACAACGGATAAAATGTAACGGTTTAACGCTCACTCGCCTGTTAAATTGTCAGCTCCGATAAACAACTCGAGAAGCCGAAGCGAGAATGACTAATCACGTAGTTTCAACCCTAAGCCACTGCTGGTTCTCAGTGTTAAATAGGTACACATAATTTGCATGTAATTGCGGCTTTCTGAGCATCCGCCGGCTGCAGACTGCATCTTTGCACAGTTAAAAATTCATTCAATTAAGCGAGAAAAGCGGCGAAGTTTAATTTCCGGAGCGCGACGCTCCGACGCGAAACTGTAAAATTTGAGGACTTAATTTCTGCGAGCTTTCTTCTCACACTTCTGAAAGGATTGTTTGAGTATTGTTCCGTATTTTATTTAAAGTAAAGTTAATACACAGTCAATAGATCGAAAGTAACTAATATTTTTCGCGAAACTATTACTTATTTTAGATATAGTTCTTTTAAAAATAAAGATTATACAAAATTTGCTTTTGTACTATTCTATCAGAAGTTATTAGTTTTTACTTTGTTGAAGTTTAGTAATGAATGTAGACTTTTATCAATAGTTCATAAAATCAAATTCAAAATATGTATAAATCTAAAGAAAAATTTACTAGATTTAAACATCTAGCAGTAAAATGCTTAAAAACTAGAAATATAACTCAAAATATGTACATAAACAAAAAACTAACCTTACTCTGAGGTCAGTGACTCTAAAGGGCACGCAAAAGTAACTCACGTAAGTGTCCTGTGTATCTCGGCGGCGCGTGCCTCCAACTCGGGCGTCTGGTGTGCCAGCAACCGGAACTCAGACACGTAGCCGGGCGAGTGTCGTCGGGGATCATAGTCACCCAATTCCGCTAAACAAACAGAAATAGAAAATGAAGAATGCTTATTGTTTCAATATGTAATCAATGAGAGACTTTAAAATGATTATTTGCTTTAGTAAGTATAAAGAAACAGGTTAAAATGAAATGCGGTCCAGCAGAAATGTTCATACATTTTTATCAGATTAAAGTTAACTGTAAATCACGAAATTTCAACATTGCATAGGCATTAATTATACACATGTTATAAAAGTAAACTTAAATTCATTTAAGATTAACGGATTCATACAACATACAAAATCTACTAAAAAAGCAAAGTTACACTTAGTTTATTTAAATTACCGCCTTACTAGACTTTTCTTTTAACCTCGTCTATACCCATGCGTTATGTTCAGTTTATTATATACTTATTAATCGTGTAATTACCAATTTATTTGAAATTTATTATTATAAATACATATAAAATAAAGTGCCAATCTTTAAATACTGATATTAGCAGAAACACTGCTTTTTGAAAAAAAAATACAAGTAATGATGTTGTTCTGCACTTAAAGTTAAGGTAATATTCCATTTTGCCTTTCTTTCTTTTATGGCTGTTATTGTAATTTCCATCGGAGTTGGGCGTTGATACTGTAACACAGTTAATACAAACTAACTGCAATATTCAACAAAATTGAACCCAAATGAAACTCTTTCATAAAAAAATATTACTATTACTGTAACTGAATACAATACGATAGCGCTCAATTTAAAATTTAAAAATAAATACCTACCCAATGAACAATGAAATCTCTCATCGTAAGATTTATTTGTATTAAAAGTTCGATTTATTGTATTGAATCGAAAAGCGTTTTAAACTTTAAAGAGTGTAAGCGTTCGCTCGATTAGAAAGATGGTCATAGCATGCGCAGACAAGGGACTAGTCCACGTAGGACTTTTGTCCACCGTAATAGATCGCTTACAACTGCATCGAGTTACGCACACGACGGATTAAAATACCGCGGACAAAAAGTTCCCCGTACTACCGCAGACACCGAGGGACAGGACATGTCAAATGTACGCGAGAGTCTGAGAGAACATAATATGTTCTCATATATAGTATGTGCTCCTCATATTATGAGGAGCTGGCGAACAAAACGGTATAATTACAAAAAAAAAATTACAGGAGCAGTAAAAAACTGAATATCATACCTACTGAGCTTTTGGCGAGATTTTTAATTTAGTAATTTTATTTGTTTCTTAGGTTTTCACGCACATCACTCATTAAATAAAACTAGTTTTAACGGGTTAATGCACGAAACTTAATTATTTATTAACGTTTCGCAGCCTTTTCCTTTGCCTTTTGCGAAACGTCAATAAATAAATAAAGTTTCGTGCATTAACCCGTTAAAACTAGTTTTATTTAGTAATTTTAACACTATTTTAGGCGGGTTTGATAGACATGAGTTGAAATTCAAATTCAGCTGGCCCAAAACCTCCGGGCTGTAAATAAAAAGCAGTATATGGTCAAAACCATATGCGTAATTATACCGCTTTGTTCGCCAGTTCCTCATAATAATATGTGACAAGAGGCGGCAACGCACACAGCGGAAAGTCCGAGTCTGCGAGAGTGATGTAGCTACGTATGCACAATGGCAATGAAAGAAGTGGAAAAAAGATATAAAAAAAGAGTATCACGACCCAAAGGACAATGGTGAAATATTTTTTGAAGGTATTCTTTAGGATTTATAGATTTGATCATAGGAAATGGAAATAAAATAATCTTAACGGATTAATCAAATAATTGAGGAGGGTTGGCTTAGTCTGGAATTAAAAACTTAAAATGAAGTAATCACATTTTTATTGTGGCTTAGCTTCATATCTTTATAGCCTACCATTTTTAAATTCAATGTTTAAATCATCCTCAATAATAAATAAATCAATCGGATATAAAGGGATGGACCGGTTATCCCCTTTAAGAACGTCATCTCTTTTTAACTAACTTTTAACTTCATGTTAAAAAAAGGTAAATTTAAAAAATCAGAAAAACCCGACTGCTTAATTATACTTCAAATAAAAACTTAAAAGAAAAAAAATTAGTCCAGTAGTCTATAATTCTGTTAATAAGGAACAAAGCTACTTTAACGGGACCCATTAGATATTCAAGAATACTTTTTTATATCACATTGCTCATGTACATTTTTTATTATAAGCCTTACATACTTAATAGAGAGTGGTACATGACCCCGTTCGGGTGTGTACATTAAAAACATTAATTTCACTTACACTTACACAATACATAATATTTTTCAATAATGGGTCCCGATTTTTAAAGTAGCTTTGTTCCTTATTAACAGAATTATAGACTACTGGACTTGTTTTTTTCTTTTACAAATATAATCAAATAAACCTATTACTTACTTTATTTTTAAATCTTTCTCATCAATTAAATACTATCATCCTAACTATCTATACTTATATTATAAAGAGGCAAGATTTGTATGTTTGTAACAAATAATCTGTCAAACTACTGAACCGGTTTCAAATATTAATTCATCATAATGTAGCTACATTATTTATAATTACATTTTTCTTTATTTAAATACAGTCCGAGTGACATAGGCTATATTTTATCCTGATAAAATAAATTTCGGCCGTACAATGCCCGGGTGGATCACTAGTAAATATAATATAATATTATAGATGTGAAAGTGAGTTTTTTTGTTGCGATTCCGTGCCCTAATAGCTAAATCGATTAAAATGAATTCCCCTATAGAAGTAGATGGGAACTTGGTTCTTAGCTACAACATCGCCATACTTATAGACGTAGACTTATAGACGGTGATGAAAGGGGTGATTTTCCTATAAAAATCTACATTCATTTTAAATTTTGCAGAATTATCGTTTATAATTACAAAACCAATATTATCGCAAGCTGATTAATAAATGCAGGGATTCCAATAAGTATGTACCTACTAGCGAAAAATGGGTTATTTGTTATTATATTAAGTAAACCTTTTGTGTAACATTAAGTAATAACGTTAAAAAAATCTATAATTCTGAGTTTTTCATAAAAATTCAATAATCATAAATACCTATTATGATAAATATTTTTCATCATTTAATAAGAAGGAACTGTATCAAAGTTTTATTGTAAGTACTTCGTATAGGATCAGATACTGCGAGTAGCCCATTTTTTTCTTTTTCGCCTAGGTTTTATCCACGTTTATAAACACCTGAATTAAATTTCTTCTCGTAGTATTCCCGCAGTCTAGTCCTACATAGTACACCGCGCTATCACTTTGTCATCGTTGTAACTTTTTAAATATTTGTCGAAATGACAAAGTGTAAAAGGCAAAGTCAGAGGCGGCGTAAGGCGTGGGCGACGTGGGCCACCGCCTACGGCCTCGCGGTACAAGGGGCCTCGCGCCTCAAAAAAGTTTATGCATTGCTTAAATGCGAATTTCTTTTTTTTATTATTTTATAAAATCCGTTTTCAGGTCGCCACAGAACAGGGCCTCGCGAAATCTATCTTGCCCACATCAAATTTAGGTCTTGCCCCGCCACTGGACAAAGTTTATCGTCTTTAAATAATAAAAGCGATAAAAGTATTTGTTTTGATAAAAAAATATTTGTTAATACAAAATGTGCATTTTGGAAATAGACATCAAATAATATTTTAGTTTTGATTCACTATTTTACCAGTAATGGCTTACACATTAAAAATAGATATATGGTGTCATGGACATTTTTAGAGATACATTTTCACTCTACATTACATTCATGTAACTTTTATTGTTTTTGCAGTGCAGGCCAAAATGACTCGCAGATGGGAGATTATTTTTCCGTCTTATGTGACACTTATTGTTATATTTTAGCCAATTCACTCAATAACTTCATAAATTATTATATACATGTTATTATCATATATGAGCTATATTACTGTTAAGTTTCATTAAAATCCATTCAGTATTTTTTAGGTGAAAGAGTAACAAAAATCCATACAAACGTAAGATAGAAATTAAAAGCGCAAGTGGTTAATATAACAACTTTAAAGTGTTGTAGATCCTAAACAATCATATAAAATGAATAATGGTGTTAGGAACCTAAACATGATTTTCGATTATCTAGACAGTGATTCCCCACTCGACATATTTTGTCAACTTATTTTTTTTACTTCGTCACAATATGGCGCCTAATTTTGTTCATACTGAATTTTGATTACTATCATATCTTTAGTAGCACTCCCATGATTGAGACGAATCGATTGATTGAAATGAATCATCAAAATCGGTGCAGGCGTTTTAGTGTGCCATAAAGGAACAAACATACATATATAGACTGTTAAACACTATACCCTGTCTGCGCGTCGCGCTTCGCGCTCTTGCATTGCGCAGTCGGGTAAAAAATTACAATACAACGTTATATAAATGTTTTGATAAATAATTGATTGTCTGTAACAACAAAATCCCGACTAATATGACACGACCCTAGTTAAGAACAGCAATTAATACGATACAGATAGTAGGCTCGTGTCCTAAACAAATATATTGTGTACACTGTGTGTACTTTAACATAAAAGCATGTGACACATAGGTATAGGAGAACATAATTTAAATTAAAACGCTTTGTTTAATTGAAACAGTATGGATTTAACTTTTATGTTTACTTAGGGAATACTTACCCACCCGAAGTAGATATTACATTAAAAGGCAGATTTACATTTGAGCATCAAAATAATATTTAGGACTATTTATCTTTTTTTTAACTTTCATTTACACAATTGGTAGGAAATAAAAATTAAAGCTCAGTTATGTCTCAAGGAAGAAGATGCTTTCATCTAAAATAAAATTTGGAGTTCTAAAACATTTACAAAATGTGTAGTGAGGTGAGGAAGGAAATATACGTACTATTCGAATACCTATATTTTTTTTTCTCTAAAGATGAACCCACATCAATAAAAAGGCTAATGAATTTCAACACTACTGTTATTATTACCCGAGATGTGCCGGATATCCGTTACCGTAATGGCGGATGTCCTAGGGAGTCAAAAG